CAGGTACCCTGTAGGGACGGACAGATGGACTGAGAGATAGTTGGAAGACATGAAGTGGGAGGGGGTGTGGAAGCGATTCCTTGCACACCTCTCAGTCATAAATATGGAAAAGGAACAGCGCGGCTCAGCCAGCCCTCCTACGAGCAGAATGTTATCCTGCTTCTCTGGCAGAGAGAAAAGGCCTCGAGCGAAGAAAGATTCAGAACACAGATCGACAGATGAATGGATTCACTGACGGAGAGATGTACAGAAAAATAAAGCTTTTAAAAGCAGAGAGAGATGTGGAGTCCATGCATGCCGTCTGTACATGTAGACACTTACATTGTTGTTTTTGAGGTTTCTGACCATTGATGCTGAACAACAAGGGAGAAAAGAAAACATCTTTACACAGCTTAACACAAAACAATTCACAAAAAGCTAACTTGAACAAGATTTAGTGCTCGATATGAGAAAAGATACTTATTATTTATCCCTTCCTCAAAATGAAATCAGTTTTTGTCCCATTAAGTTTGATGGTTTTTGTGTTGCCACAGTACCAGAATTTTAAACTTTGATACAATAATTGTAAAAATCAAAGGATATTGGTACCACAGCAGCACAAGGGTGGTTAAAAAACATATATATTTTGTTCTGTTTTTTACCCCAAAACTGCAGACAAACTCAGACATGCTGGCTAAATGGCACAAAATCGAAAGAAACAAATGTGGTACCAAAAGCGTTGCCAACATATTTGTGCAATTATGACAGCTTTTGTGTGTTTGTAAGAGATGTAAACATTACTTTTGCAACTTAAAGACTCCAAAAGGACTTGATAAACAACATGTGAATTTAAATGGTGCACCCTCTTTCTATCCCTAGCAGTACATGTAAGATCTGTAGTTTCTCTTTAAAGCTTTACTATACTGTTGATCATTAAAATAACTTGTTTTATCGCGTTAAAACGTCTTATCAATAAGCGTCAACGTGTCAAAAACGCTACAGCCTTAGATAGTTGTATTTAGTCCTTTTTTAAAGGAGCAATATGTGACTCTGACACCTAGTGTTTAAAATGGGTACTGCAGTCCAAATTCAAAACATTGGCGAGAGCTGTCTCCCCCCCTCTCCTCCCATAGGGTTGATGTGCACACAGGTTGCTAAGTTGCAGACACTGAAGCTTCAGTGTTTAGCCAGCTCTGCATCAATCTAGAAACTAAGTCTTCACTTTCAGGGAGATGCCGCGAGTTGCTGACCGTGTTTTACAACCGCTAAAGTCTGATGTACGTATCATGCACGGCTAATAATTCAGTCTGCATGGCTAATGCTTAACAAATCAGACCATGCAGCGAGTGACACTGCTGAAGATGTTGATCTTTTCTCTTTAGTGAAATTAATAAACATGGACACTTTGTTTCCTGCTTAGCACTGAGCTGCTGTTAAACAGCTGAATGATAATGTATGCATTAAGTGTGTGTTGCAGTAACAGACAGATGGAGCTTCAGTATATTTCCATCGTGGAGTAGGCGAGCTGTAAGGTGAAGCAGGTGTCGTGTGTTAAGATGGTGGAGAGCTGACGGCGTGACGTATCTCATTATCACTGCAGCAGTGCCAGAGAAACACTCTCTGAACCTCCTGTGCTCTCCTCTGTCATGGATCCTTAATTCATGACAGTGGATTTTCTGTGGTTTTTAGTACGATTGTTGTTGAGGAACTCAAACCAGTGCACAAACGTGTTGTTTTCTGAATGGATCTGAGTGTACTGAACAGAAGATGTAAACAGAATAGTCAGCACATGGTGAACTTGAAAGTCTTGACAGTGTGAATGTGAGAGAGACGTGAAATCTGTCCTTTTCCTAATCTGTTCGATTACAGCCATATCTATCTGTTAATGTGTGTTGTAGTGAAGTTTTAAAACGACTGCCTCCAAAAATAAAGTCTTGTTGAAGAACCTCGGCCCATAGAGTTTTATTTTTTGATGTGCCAAAGACAAGAAAATTTACAGAACACTTTCTCCAGCAGATACTTTTGCCCCAAAGTCATGAAACATACTTTAGGGCCTGGATCCACTCGTGCGTATTTTTGCGCTGGCAGTTTCCATTTTCAACACAAAAACGCATCAACTGTCTCTGGTCACTTCGCTAACGGCAGTTTAAAAATAGTTCAACTTGGGGGTGCCCGTAGACTAGTGGTTAGTGCACGTCCTTCAAGCAGGTGGCCCGGGTTCAAATTTGACCTGTTGCTCCTTTCTCACAAGGCATTTCTCTCTCTCTCCCCAGTGTCTGACTCTATCCACTGTCCTATCCCTCTAATAAAAAATAAAAACAGTGCCGTCACTTATCCCTCATCTACCAATCAAAATGAAGAAGGGGTGACAGGGGCTCGTTTTTTTCTGAGAGCAGCTGCTAATTGCAGGACACAGGTCCTTTACGCTGTTTTTTTAAAACATACCTGTCACTACCGAAGGAAGGGGTACATTTGTGGACACAGGCTACATAGTTATCTTTTTCTTTTCTACTGAAAGAGTTAGATAATTATTGTAAGAGTCTGACAACATTTCAGGAAGGATCTCAACAGAGAGAGACCTTGTGCAGTATACGTGAATGTCTTTTTTTTTTTTTGTCTCTACCAAGCTACCACTCAATTCACAAAAGAAGCTTTACCCCACATAAACTCTCGTAACATGGAAGAATTTTCCGTTTGCTGAGCTCTTCTGTGTGTCATTTACACGGTGTTGTCTCTTCAAGGGCAGCAGCTTTCTTTGTGCTTGTCGTCTTTTATCACTTAGCGGACGCAAGAAAGGCCATTTAATTTCCTTGCACAGTATCTGGCACATCCCCCTTCAGCAACACAGCCCGCCCTGCACAGGTCAGCACAAGGTAGAAGTTACTCTAATAAGGAGTGCAGGCTTCGTCTTTTTTAAAGTCACACACAGCTTTTGTGTTGCACTCCTTAATGAATGCTAGTCAATCCACTTTTGGATAAAATCATTCAAACTTCCATCTTAACATGTTTATAAAAAAAAAAAGCTAAAGACCCAGCTCTTTCATGAATACCTACTAACTTAATGATGATGGTTTCGATATCATTGATGATGATGATGGTTGTCACGATTGTTTCTGATTAGAGCTCTCAAGAACTGCGGTCAATGTTGTGCTTTGCCTCTGTGCAATGCCTGTCAGCACCTGTGTGTCCAATCGGACTCAAAGCTGATCGTTTGCTCTTACTGACATTGTTCCCTTTTGTCTAGATCCTTGCTTGTGTTGTACTTACTCTCTGATGTACGTCGCTTTGGATAAAAGTGTCTGCTAAGTGAATTGTAGAATTGTAAAATTATACATAACTTCAGTCATATATTATACATATAGACACAAGCTTCATGTTTAACATAGAAATATCTAAATCAAGTCTTAAAAAGTCAACCATGCAAAGCTTGGGTTGTAAAATGCATGTTAACAGAATTCAGCAGTAATTTCACATCGTCGCCGTTAGCCTGCTGCTAACACGTTTTGTTTCTCTTGGAGGAGTTTGCTTTTCCTCGTGCAAAGTGGTTAAGGGGTAAATAGTTGTTTATTCGACGTCATGGAGTAGATTTGGCTGTTGACATGAATTAGTGAATAAATACGAATCTCTCTGCTCTCTAAAGGCTCTTCTACTGATTAGTGTGTGTGTGGGGGGGGGGGGGTAGAGCTGAGAGAGAGGGTGGGGGGTTGGTTGGAGAGAGAGAGAGCAATTTGTTTATCAAACACTTTCCTCCCTCAAATCTGATTTGCTCAATGTCACATTGAAGAGTTGGACCTCTCCACTCTTTGGTGTGTGTATGTGCGCGCTGTGTGTGTGTGTGTGTGTGTGTGTGTGTGAGGTATGTGTGTATGTGTGTGTTTTCTACATGCCATCATTTTGCCTCTGAGTTTGTTTTTGATTATTAAAAAGAAAAAGTAGTTGCTTTATCTCTGTTTCTTCCTCTATCAGCCACTTCCTGTCCCTCATGTTGGTTCATTTGAAATAACAATCTTTGAGATGCACGGTTAATCTAACAAAAAAAAAAAGAAAAAAAGCTGAGTTTAAAGATGAGCACTGTCTCCATCTCCTCGTATGTATTTAACCTTGACGTGAACGAGTGCTCTCAGACTCAAACACTATAGAAATTCATGAAAATATTAAATATTCATTCACATTTATTAGTGACCTTACAAAGAGGAAACTGGACACAGTCCACCTCTGAATGCAGGAGGAGGTTTTTTCTCCACATGAACAGGTTTCAGCCTTTTTTTTGTCTCTCACGATGAAGTGGTTGACAAATGTGAATGTGTACCACAAAAAGAGCTGAAAAAATGCATTTACAACAAACTACAGGCTGAAAAAAGTAACGATGCCAAGTTAAAAACACAAAGTATACACAGACTTTAGCTGTGTGATTGTTTTGCATGTTGTAACATGTTATAAAGTGCCTTTGCAGTGAAACACGACCCTGTGACAGCTTCCAGCTTTCCTGTTGTGATATCAGAACGTGACGCATGCTGTGGACCTGCAAAGACGCCTTTTTCCCTGTTGAAAGTTATTGACCTTTAAAACGACCATTAAAAGTGACATACTGTCTTGTAATCGAACTGTGACAATCGTCAAACCTCATAAAAATACTTTGAATTCTCTGTCACAGCCTCAAATTGTTCACTAGTGTTGCACTTAATTTTTTCAGTTTCTTTATAAATCTTGTCAACTGAGCAAGCAAAAGCACAAAAGATGTATGACTGGTTCTACTCGAGCCTTTCTGCCTGTTGTCCTCTTCAATGTTGCAGAAAAGTTGCTCATTGCTCAAATGTTGTGTCTCTGTAAATCATATAACAGCGAGCATGGTCTGACCTGTAGAGAGAGAAAGAGAGAGCGGAGACTTTTTGACCTCTGACAAGTTCTGATTTTCATTAACATGATGCAGTTTGCTGTGATGGTTTTCTGTGATGATTAACTCAGTTTCTAATGAGCTATTGTTTCTAATACTCGACACTTCCTTGTCTTTCTGTCTTTAGATTTTGAGCCACAGAAAGGAACAGCGATATTTGGCAGCAGACCAGCGCCGTTCAACTGCCAGACCAACTCTACAAGTTGGTAGGTTCAACTCTCACCGTCTCTCCATCTGTGTCTCAGCTCGGCATTGTCTGGCAGCCTCGCAGTTGTTCCATCTTCTACATATTTCTCCGTCGATCCCGTTAATTTTTGCTGAGATTCCTCGCTCTGCTTTTCTATCCAAATCTGCCGTTAAAGAGCGAGAAGATTAGCACCAATTTGACTTGATTGGACTATTCTTCTGGCAGAGGAGAGAGAAAAAAAAAAAGACAAAAACCCCGCTCTGCAATTTGAACACGTGCAGGGAACAAATGATTGCGATCAATAAAAAAAAAAAAAAAGAAGCGGGGGGAAAAATGAACAAGAAAATGAATGAATTGCCAATTTCTGTTCTTGTTAAGTGTTTTTGGAAGGCAGCTCTTGAGGAAAAGCTGTTTCCGCTCAAGGACTCTGACAGCAGTGTGTGTGTTTTTGTGTGTGTGCGTGTGTGTGTGTGTGTGTGTGTGAGGGGGATGATGGGGGTTGCTCAGCATTCAATAGCGCCTGATTATCAGACATTTGTCTGTTCTTTTCACAATGGTTTATGTGGGATTACAATAGTGTTTTTGTTTTTTAAATAATGCATGTTTATGTCTGCAGAGAAACACCCGAGAGCTGAGGTCATTTTGGCTCCAGTTGTTGTTAACCTACATTTTCAGCAGGAAATAATCTCAAAATACCGGTGTTGGTCTGATGTACTTGCTCCAGGTTTTAGGCAGAATGTAAAATGGTTTGGCTTCAGTGGATATTTCCTCTGCTTTCTTTAGGACGGTGATTCTTTTGTCATATTTATGTTGAAGCGACTAAAATCAGCAGTACATTGTTTTATTTCTGTGCTGCAGCAGGGAAAACAAAAGGATTCATGATGAATATACTGTGATGGTGTTCAGGAGTCAAACAGCACAGTGACGAGATTGATCAGTTCTTCATTTATCTTATTTCCACATGGAGCTTCTTCAGTTTTTTTCGAAGGCTTTTATTTTTTGGCTTCATTTAGAGACAGGACATGGGATAGAGTCAGAGATCAGGAAGAGAGAGAGAGAGAGAGAGAGAGAGAGAGAGAGAGAGGAATGACATGCAGGAAAGGAGCCACAGGTCAGATTCAAACTTTGGCCGCCCGCCTGGAGGACAAGAGCTGCTGTGCATGGGTCGCGTGCACAAACCACTGGCCCCTCCCCCACAGGGAGCATATTAAACTTACATGACAGCTTTGGCTAAAGGCACAGCCCAGCTACTGTACGTCCTACTCAATTGTACACACTTGACAAATTACCATGTCATCAATTATCCACTGAAGACAGGAACCACTCTGGAAAATCTAAACATTTTGTGAAATGTTGCCTTTTCTTTCCAGAACAGCTAGCTCCACCCGTACACATTTTCCGACTTGATTTTGGCAGCCATTTATAATCGAACAGCGAACTTTAACATGCATATATATCCAGTGTGGGTGTATTTTGTCAGTTATAAACAAGATTGACAAAGTTCAAGTTCATAGAGCTTCAGCTCTTTGACTTTTTCTTGCACTCTTACTGTGACATCATTAACTGGACGCATCACTCTTAAGTGCAGCTTCCACAGGTTCTGTGTGTGCTACTGTGTGTGCTACACCTGCACTGAAAGCTGATTGTGCCCTCTCTCAACAATGCTTGTGTTTCCACTGCACACGTCACAGTCCATCTGCGCACCAGGAGGCCACTCCGCTCCAAATAAGTCTATTTTTCTAAAAAGAGCCAACCGCAATCACGCGTCAATCTGAGCAGAGCAAATCTATAAGGACAGGAAGTCAGACAAGAGAACACATAAAGCATCCAGTCAATTTCAAAATAAAATAAAACACTCTGTGCGGCCTCCCGATCAGATGTCCCATCACCTTGTCAACATTACATCAAAGGTCACCAAATGAACAACAAATCAACCTCTTTGCACGTTTTTCTCTATATGCTCTCTTGATCTTGTAGTTCTCCTCGCAAGCACGGATCGTTTGGGGAGCGTACCATTTCTATTTAACTGAATATCCATTCATCGTCTTCTAAACCCACCTGGATGCACCTGCACCATCTCTTCCCGCGTCTCCTCGTCTTAATGTGGCTTTGTTTTCCACAGCCCTGCTCCATGTTTATCAGTACTCCACCAGGTGCTCTCTGTTGTAAACTGAATGATTCAGATAGGTAACAGTAGAGCGAGAGAGCGAGAGAGAGAGAGAAATCAATTTAGACAGTCAGAGAAACCATCAGGAGAGCTGATTATAAGATAGGATCACAGCATTTCTTTCTGTAGGGCTCATTCCCTGCAGATATTCACCATCACTGGTTGTTTTTATTTTTTTTATTTTTTTTATTTCATCGTTTTGCCTTTTGATAGATCATTTCTGCAGTTAGGACAAAATAACCTTGATTAACTCAAAGAAAACATAGCGTTAATGCTGCATACAATAAAGATGTGAATACATGCAGCAAATGTTTTTCACACTGATTGTATAAATGTACTTTGTGTTCATGCTCTCAAAGGATCGTTACATTCAGTGACTCAGCCGCTTAAAATAAACGACCACACAGTATGAACTCCAGCTCAAAGTTGCAGTTAGTCATAAACCTCAGCGATGAGCGTCGCCCAACAAAACAACAACAACAAAAGTTCACAGGAACCAACCATTAAGTTTTATCACAAAAACAAAATCGAATAAATGATATGTGGGTGAAAGAAACATCAACTGAAGAAATGAGCTTCTCATTTCTTCAAAGCTGAAATTGTTGATATGGGATGAGTACAGAAATCCAGTAAAATATATTCTAATTCACAAAGATCACCTAACAGCATTGCATGACCAATAGCGTCTCTGTGCTGCGTTGCCGTTTGCATACATTTAATCGGCCATTCTGCAGTCATTTGGGAAAAAGTTGGCACAGGTGATGTGGTTCAGTGAAGTCAGACTGAACCAGATTGTGGTAACGCTGTGTCACACTCTCACCATATGAGCCCCTCTGTGGTGTGAAAAGATTTGAAAGCTGAACATGAAGCAGGACTTGCAGTTCTTCCTCCTCTGAGTGTTTGGAAATCTGATGTTTGCACATCGCAGCTGAAGATGAGGAAAGGCGTTAAAATGAGTCACGGGTCAAACAGACGTCATGTAGGCTGATGTAGGCGGAATCCCAACTGAAGGAGAAAACTGAAGTCAGCTCAATGTGCAGAAACGTGCGATGATAAACAGGTCCAAAGGGTTGTTTAAGGATACCAAAGGATATAGGCTAAGCATGGACTGTAGCACTAAAAAGAAGTGGCACTTACAGTGTAGGGTTTCATCTACAACAGGACGATAGACTGTAAATATTAATGGACGACATCACTCATCTTTGACTGAAGGGGGCTCGTTGGCGGTCCCCATGCTGGGAAATCCTGTGTCACCCTAACTTTCAGTCAATCTAACGACAGGCTGAGAGCTGGAGCTGAGGAGGGTTTATTAAGCTTCAAGAAAAACTATAACACCGCGCCCTCGCCCGCCCGCCTGCCCACCTGCCACTCAGTTCAGCTATGTGCCTTATTGTGAACAACTCTTATCCTTCATCAAATTAAAATGGACAAGTTATCACCCCCCCCCCCCATTACAATATAGTTACAGTTACAATACAACAACAACCACACAAAAAAAGACGACACCGTGTATACAGTTCTCGGCGACGACAGTCACAGCGACAGGGTGTAAAGTACAATGAGTCGATTCCACCGCTACACAAACAGAAGGCAGAAGGGGCGTCAGAAAGCCTTCAAGGATTACATTCCCCAAGCCTCTCCTACTCCCTCTCCCCAGTCTGCATCAGTGATTTAAGATAGGTATCGCTCCCATTTCAAATTATAATATTCAAATATATTTATGTCTAAATGTTAGACCGTCCAGTGCAGCTAGTCAACCTAAATGATTATGCCCTCGAGGTGTAATGTGTCCCCAAGGATAAACAGACTTTGACAGTAAAGGTACATCGAGCTCAACAAGGTGTAATAGATTTTTGTGGATTTCAGAACAGAAGTTTTGTATTTTAGGGCAACCTTCTCCATCCTGTCATCTCCAGCTGCACTCTGGGGTTTGTGCTAACGTCACTCTATAACCTTGATGGAGTCCAATAAACTCTGTTCACACACAAGTCAGGTTTTAAGTTCCCTAGACATCTTTTTAAAGTTATATATTAGTGTATTGGTATGTACCACTAAAATCTGTGTATCTCTGGATGTGGCCGAATCAGATCCTTTTTTTAAAGACTGAATTTAGTTTCATGAAGTTTTATGCTCCGGCACAGAAAGTAAAAAGAAGTACCTTGTATTCTGAGACGAAGACACAGAAAGTCTTTTATATGACAGTGACTATTCTTATTCTCTGTGAATGTTTGGGCATACGCTCAAAAATGTAAAAATGTCAAATTGAATCGAAGTGTTTTGTTCACAAAATGTGTCCTTTCACAGACCCAGGACAAAAGATGACATTTCTGAGAATCTAAGATAGAAATGTTTGGTATGTGTGGCTGGCATGGTGAGCCAAGAAATAACGGAGATGTGGAATAATAGCTCCGCATTTCTAACCTTTTCTGGGGTGTCTAGCTGTGGGGGAGGTGAATGAAACCAGTCATCGAAGAGGTACATCCCTTGTCAGTGTCACTAAATCACTTTTTTTTTTAACATTATTTAATCAATACATTTAGATTTAGACAATAAGAAACCTTCTTCAGTTCAACCAGGAGAGACTTAAATTAGAGTTTACATTTCATTATTTAAAAGTTTAGAAAAAGATAAATATGCAGTGTGTTTGCCGACTAGACTCCGTCATGATGACCTCATGCGCTTGGAGGGGTAGCGAGGCCGACAGCAGGATAGAACACCCCCCTGATGGAGTCTAGACCCTGGTGGTGGTAGAAGAATGCAGGATGTGATGAGGAGGGGGTTTCTGAGGCTGCATCTGAACTCTGCTGAGCTGGACTGGAGGTGACCAGGAGTAAGAGGGTCACAGCGATCACAC